ACATCTAAGCACTCGCGAAAATCGAAATCTCCCGAGTTAACGAATCGGACGATTTACACCAAAGAGTTAGGTACGAGATGACAACTCGTATTCTTTCCTCTACATCTAACATAAAAAATGAGTTTCATACTTAGAAAATATTTTCTTATTAAACATCCGAATACACACCGCCCGGCGGTAGGGATTCAAAGCCACCAACGGCCAGTCCCGGAAAAACAACGACAAAATCAAAAAAAACTAAGAACATCACACATCAAAGTCATCAAACGCAGGTTGATCGACTTCGCCATCTACATCCGAAATCCCAGGACCGACTTCAACTGAATCCGGCGACACCACGACGGGATTCCATTGACCCCACATGCGCGCCTTAAGGTCGAAAAATTCGGACTGCGTATCTTTTTCCCGATTCAAATCTTCCCATCGCACTTGGGATTCCTTAGCAAACGAATACCCTTCATTCTGAGTCAGGGATAACCCATGAACGACCCCGCGACATTCGCGATAATCCCCATGCGCCCATTGAACAGCTTCCGCATCCGAATAACCGGTTGCAAATCGCTCACGACTGTTGGTGTCGAAAACCGTACTCTCGAAATCAACGTCTGCGATAGCTTCTATAAAAGGGAGATCATTACTTTCCGCAAAAGTGATTTTATAAAACTCAGAATCGTTTTATAAAACTCGAGAATCGTTTTATAAAGCTCGAGAATCGTTTTATAGAACTCGAGAATCGTTTTATAAAACTCGAGAATCGTTTTATAAAACTCGAGAATCGTTTTATAAAGCTCGAGAATCGTTTTCTAAAACTCGAGAATCGTTTTATAAAACTCGAAGAATCGTTTTATAAAACTCGAGAATCGTTTTATAAAGCTCGAGAATCGTTTTATAAAACTCGAGAATCGTTTTATAAAACTCGAAGAATCGTTTTATAAAACTCGAGAATCGTTTTTTAAAACTCGAGAATCGTTTTATAAAACTCGAAGAATCGTCTTATAAAACTCGAGAATCGTTTTATAAAACTCGAGAATCGTTTTATAAAACTTGAGAATCGTTTTATAAAACTCGAGAATCGTTTTATAAAA